TTCCATTACAAATCAGCTGTTTCCAGCTACAATAGCCATTTACAACATTAAAAATGTCTACACTGTAAAATATTGCTTTTCTTTCGAAAACAAGGACATTTCTAAGTGACCATAAACTTTTGAACAGTATTGTGTGTGTATATACATATCCTTTAAATATATTTCCCTTTATTACTTTCCAACCCCACCACCCCTCCCCTAATTGGAGTAAACTAGTGAACAACAAAGCTTAGGCCTCTACTTCCAGCTTATACATACTCTATACATTTTATGGACACAGTCAATTTTACAATAATTCTGTTTAGTTTGTTTACTCCTGAACTTCCTCTACCCTCAACCTCTCCGATCATTTTCATGATGTCCATCTGGTTTGCTTCTATATGCCATATCTTTATAACTGCTCTTTCACAAAAGCTTTAAACCTATAAAGTTTACTTTGTAAAACAATATTTGGAAGTTGAAATATTTTGCCTACAGCATACAGATTAGTGTTCTCTTTTCAGCAGGAGCCATTTGCTTTCCAACCTGTGTTTTCCCACGACTGTATTTGAAATATTGCGGAAGGCCTGTTTTGTCTGCGTGCTGTTCACTGACACATTTGCCCCGCGTTCCCGACTGTAGGCCTGAACATAATCCACAGCTAGGCTAGTTTTTTAAATAAGCTACTGATGCTCTGTGGCTAAATTATAGGCCTTCTCATGGTGTAGTAGGCTATTCTGAATTATTTCATTTCTTTATGAACACAGTAGTAATTCTATAACTTTGGCAAATGTATTTCAACTCATTGGTGCTGCAGCTCCTCCAGAACACTTTGCGCGGCTATTATTCTAGAAGGAAAGGAAATAAATTATGACGTGCAACGCTGGAGAGATGAGCGTTGCAGGCTCATGTCTATCAGAGCGGAGAGATGGTGAGATCATATAAAGTGACTTATCAATTACAAAAGATCAGCTCAGTTAATCCCTACCATTGTGTTGCTGAGTTGTCATAATGCTGCAGCAAATGTACATTATCCCAGGGGCGTTGGCAGACACAATGTAAGTAACTTAATTTATATCCCTCTAATTTCCCTGAATGCATCTGTTGATCCTACAGCTATTGTATGCAGTAATCATGTGCCTATGAACCACCGGAGTTATACTGTTAGCACTGAGGCGGTGTGCCCTAGTAGGAAGCCACTGTGTGCAGCTCACCCTGCACCATCAGCTCAAATATAAATAACATGAGCATGTCCACTTCCAGTAAGCATCCCAGTAAAGTGCTAAAAATTGCCACATTAACATATGTAGCATAAGAAACAAGGTTCATGAAGTCAATAACTTGCTAGTAACAGATGACATTCATATTCTGACTCTCTGAAACTCAGTGGTAGCAATACATTGTTATAGCATCTACAGAAAAGACAAATGCCAATGGGGGCAGTGTTGCGGTCTATATTCAGAACCACATTCCTGTAAAGCTTAGAGGATCTCATGTTAAGTAGTGTTGACGTAATATGGCTACAGGTTCATCTGCCTCACCTAAAGCCCATTCTTGTGGGAAGCTGCTATAGACCACCTTATGCGAACAGTCATTATCTGGAAAATGTGTGAAATGCTTGATAATGTATGTGATATCAACAGAGGTATATTTTCTGGGTGATTTTCAATATTGACTGGCTTTCATCAAGCTGCCCACTCAAAGCTTCAGTAGCCGTATCTAGTTCTAAGGGCTGGGCCAAATATAGTGTATAAGAGGTCATACAAAAAGTTTTGTAGTAATTCTTATGTGGATGATGTAAAGAATATTTGCTGGTCTGTGGTGTGTAATGAGGAGCAACCAGATGCTGCACTTGACACATTTTATGAAATGGCTTATTCTAGTTACTAATAATTAAGAAAATGACGGTAAAAACTGTTAAATCCCCTTGGATTGATGAGGAATTGAAAAATGGTATGATAGGGCAAAAGATATGGCAAATAAGTCTGGCAGCACAACCGAATGGCTAAAGTACTACAAATTGAGAAATCATGAGACTAAACTGGAAAAAAAGAAACTATACTATGAAACAAAGATAAATGATAGACCGGTGTGGCTTTTGACATTATCGATCATAGTCTACTGCTGGAAAAGCATGTGTTATGGCTTTATACCCCCTGCTATATTGTGGATAAAGAGTTACCTGTCTATCAGAACAGAGGGTGTTCTTTAATGGAAGCCTCTCCGACATAATCCAGGTAGAATCAGGAATTCCCCAGGGCAGCTGACTAGGCCACTTTTTAAAAATCTTTACTAACGACATGCCACTGGCTTTGAGTAAAGCCAGTGTCTATGTATGCGGATCACTCAACACTATACACATCAGCTACTACAGTGACTGAAATGATTGCAACACTTAACAAAGAGCTGCAGTTGGTGTCAGAATGGGTTGCAAGGAATAACTTTAGTCCTAAATATATCAAAAACTGAAAGCATTGTATTTGGGACAAATCATTCACTAAACTCTAAACCTCATCTAAATCTTGTAATGAATAATGTGGAAATTGAGCAAGTTGAGGTGACTAAACTGCTTGGAGTAACCCTGGATTGTAAATTGTCAAAACATGTTGATACAACAGTAGCTAAGATGGGGAGAAGTCTGTCCATAATAAAGCTCTGCTCTGCCTTAACAACACTATCAACAAGGCAGGTCCTACAGGCCCTAGTTTTGTCGCACCTGGACTACTGTTCAGTCGTGTGGTCAGGTGCCACAGAGGGATTTAGGAAAATTACAATTGGCTCAGAACAGGGCAGCACGGCTGGCCCTTAAATGTACACTGGGAGCTAACATTAATGATATGCATGCCAATCTCTCATGGCTCAAAGTGGAGGAGAGATTGACTTCATCACTACTTGTTTTTGTAAGAAGTGTTGACAAGCTGAATGCATCGAGCTGTCTGTTTAAACTATTAGCACACCGCTCTGGGCATGAGAATTAAGAGGCAAGTCAAATGAACTTGAATCGCTTTTATTATAATATATATATATATATATATATATATATATATATATATATATATATATATATATATGAGGTTCTGGAACGAAACAGTCCAAAACTTGAGAGGTGCCAGGTCCTGTTCCGGCAGGATCCGGCTCAAATTAAGCACTGGTAAAGACAAGATTAAGTTGAGAATTGTCTGAATGGTGAGAATGTTATCACTTGTGAATGATGCACAGCGCATGCATTTTTCTTTGCTACATTTTCAAATCATAGGCCTTTAGGTTTTGTTAAGGTTTGTATCACAACTGAAGTGGCCAAATAACTCCAAATGTAGCCTATAGGCCCAAGACCCCTGGGACATGGTTAGAGAGTCCATAGCCTACAGCCAGGTTTCCCAAACTGTCCTGCCCTAGCACTACACAGCTGATTCAAATAGTCAAAGCTTAATGATGAGTTGGTTATTTGAATCAGCTGTGTAGTGCTAGGGTAAAAAAACAAATGAAATGAAAACAAAACGGGCAGCATTCTAAATCAAGAAATTCAACACATGTTAGTAGGCCATATGTAAAGACCAGATTAAATTGAGAATGTTGCGTGAGAATGTTATCAAGTGCTTGTCAAATTGTGAATGAGAGACTGCTCCATTTCTTGTGCAGGCTGCACACACTTCAGAGTGCTTCCCTTTCATGTCACTTTTTTCAAATAATTATTCGTCGCATCATATAGCCTTAGAATGTATTAGAAATCTAAATGTATAGCCTAATGTTTGTATCACAACTAAAGTTGCATAAATAACTCTAAATTAAGCATATAGGAGGACCTGTTTCTTTGTTAACCGCTCAACACAGAATAGCCGCATGTGCACACTCCCTCAAATCGTTTGTGGAGAACAGCTATGTTAAATTGTATTGTTCTTACTAGAACAAAATATAAAATAATGCCATGGGCATTATAAGCAAATCTTGCCTGCTAAATGAACTAGTGTAGCCAACAGCCATATGGCATAGCCAGATCTGGGCCTAACATAAGGACGACACAGAATATGCTATTCTGCTCTTCTGAAATAGGCTACATTTTCTTCATATAATGTTTCTTGAGATCTGCCTAAAATAACTAATGGATTTATTGTGATGGTGTAGGCAATATTAAATGGATATATTAGACTTTTTTTAAATGTAGATGTTCCAAAGGTCCGCATCAATGTCTTATAGGCTATGTGTGGAAGCCGGAGATGCTAAATGTGTTAATGTTAATTAACGGTCAATTACCGCGAGACCGGCAGTTATTTGAATGACTATCACCGGCTGACAAAATGTCATGACTGCCACAGCCCTAGTCGTGCTGCACACCAGATACTTTTTTTTTGGTATTGGTGTCCAACAGATTCCCAGTCATGTGAAATCTATAGTTTAGGCTCTAATTAATTGATTTCAATTGACTGATTTCAGTAAAATCTTTGATTTTGTTTCATGTTGTGTTTTTTTGGTGTTTTCAACTTTGAACAAATGTCAATTTCTCAACCTCCCGCCCTCTTGCGCTCTCTCTCCTTTTCTTTCGCTCTCTCCCTGGTGAGTTCTTTAACTCTTGGCACAGTGGTGAGTAATCACTTTCCTCCAGATGTTAGTTTGGGAGGAAAACAAAGGGAGGAGAGGATGAGAAAAAACAGCTGCCTGTATTCAGGCAACCCACTCCCTTGTTGCTCAATGTGAAGTCATCAGTCTCTTACCACACACTTTACCATTCCTCTACTCTCCTTTCCCTTTCCTTCCTCACCTCTTACGTTCTCGTTCTCTGCCTCATGGCCTTGCCGACCAGTCTCTGTAGTCATAGGAGTCGTTTGGGAAGCAACCTGACCCGCGCCCAGCCTCTCCCCTCTTGTTATGACTGGCAGCTTAGACCAGTGAAGAAAAGCACGGCGGAGCCAGCGTCAGGCCACTGGGGATTGTTCTCCCTACATACCCTCACTCTCTCTCTCTCTCTTCCCCCTCTCTCGCTCCCTCTCCGCTGTATGTCACGGAAGCAGAGGCCCCTGCCAGACATGAGCAAATGTTTTCGCATCGGCACGGCAGACATGAGCAAACGCACCCGCCGCAGTTGGGGCAAGGGTGTGGCCCTCCAAACATTATGATACACCCATCTGTTGCTGCAGCTGAGCTGTCCACACAAATCACCACTAGCGATTTTACATTCCCATGCCGTTCCAGGAGCCATTTGTCATTGTATGTGGCTCCTCGCTCTCTCTGTCTCGGCCCCTCTCTCTCGTGTCTCGGCCCCTCTCTCTCGTGTCTCGGCCCCTCTCTCTCGTGTCTCGGCCGCGCTCTCTCGTGTCTCGGCCGCGCTCTCTCGTGTCTCGGCCGCGCTCTCTCGTGTCTCGGCCGCGCTCTCTCGTGTCTCGGCCGCGCTCTCTCGTGTCTCGGCCGCCCTCTCTCGTGTCTCGGCCGCCTTCTCTCACTCTCGGTTTCTGTCAGACTGTGTGAGAGCGTGAGTTTGATTCCTGATGGTAACCTCATCCGTAGGGCTGTCAGGTAGGCAGAGGGACGACACCTCTCTTTGCTCCCTCCCCTCTGATAGCTTTTACCGCTACACTGATTTCACAAATAGGCCTTATTGATTGAATCTGATTCCTGTGGATAGAGCAGGTTTATTGAGTGGCTTTTGCTGATAGACTGTGTGTGTGACGGTAAAGGGGGAAACTTTCACTCCTGTCCTCAGCGCTTGTAATCCAGGTCACATTTTTCCCAGGAATGGGTAGCCCATTCCCTCTCCGATATTTCACACACACTCTGCATCCTCCTGACAGCTGCCCTGAATGTTTGAGGAGACCTTGGAGTGTGTGAGGAGTGCCCACTCAGTGTATTGTGATGGCACTATGGTCACAAGGACATCAAAGAAACATCTAGTCCCTTCAGCCTGGCACATAAAATGTTCATTCAGGAACCTTTGAGTCCTTTCATAGTTGACCCACTGCTAGATATTAGCAGACAGTAGACACCCACTTTCTGTAGCTTTAGTGTGACCAAGTTCCAGCTCTCAAATCACTCCATACAACCAGCGTTATAGTAATAAGTCATATTTATAATAATAGCCTTGTTATGTTGACTAATGCAGTGGAGTAAATGTATCTGCTTCCATGTGGCCATTAGGACATTTTTAGTAACAGCCTGCTGTAGTATGAAGAAAGAGCTGTGCCAGCAGAATTCCTGAGGGGGTGTGCCTGCCCAGAGTTCACATTCAGTTTGCCTCCACTCTCCGTCACTCTCTCACACACACACACACAATAGGCTTACTTTCTGTTTTCCTGTCTGCCACACGCACACACCTCCCTAGCAGGATCTGTATACCCTCGCCTCTGCTGCCCTCTATTTTCCTTTGCACCCCTCAGAACAGCGCCTCCCGCTCCAATGCTATGCAGAGCCGGAGAGATGAGGATGGTGACACCCATGTCCCGGCAGCCTCTTTAACCCTCCCAACCTTCAGATCAATCATCCTTCGGCCCTTTCCCGTCCCTGTCTGCCTGCGACTCTCACCCCCCCCCCCCCTCCAAACAACACACGCCTAGAAAAACCAGCCAGGCCTCTCCTCCCCCTGAAAGGGAAAACGACTTTCTAACTCATTATTCGGCCTGCATTTAAAAAGGTTAACTGCGTCAGCGAGCATTCAGGTGTGCTGCGAGAGAAACCACCCAATGGTTATTCAATCTCACGCTCCAACATCTGGCCGCTCTCCAGTTTGCACATTAAACAGAACATTGTAGCAGTGTTCTAAATGCATTACGGGCAACACACAGTAGGCCTTTGTTTGGGACAGAGGGTAGAGCAAAGACTTAGTGACCTTGCAGACGCCTGAGGCGATGACTGTTGTGGGTCTCTGTCAACACTGACTCAGTTCTCTAACCACGGAGTCAGGGTCAGATTCTACTACGCCAGGCTAGTCTGGCTCCATGTAAAGGCTTTTGTGAAAGCTATTTTTCTCTGAGACAGAATCGGAGAAAAGAGCCCATCTTGATTCATGCCACGTTTATGTCACCGAAAACCACGTGCAATAACTTCACGTGACTACTTCTGAGTTTTATTTTTTGATTTTTTGGGGGAGGGGGGGGCTCATTAGTTTTGTCTAACATCACCATTGGCTCAGATCCAAACAGACTGACACAGTCTGGGGCCAAAAAAACTAGCAGAGAAAGAAAACAAGCTGTCTCGTTCCTGGGACTCATTTACGAAAATTCTTCCAGACTCTGGAGAAGCTGTGTGGAAGGTCAGTGGGGTCACAATATGATTTAATGTGCGATGATAAAAAAGGAAGGGAGGCAGACAACGGAGAATCTTAACAGAATGGGTAGCTAAAGATGTTCACTCTACCGCAACCACCTCTGATTGGCAAGTGTTTGGGCAACTAAAAATGGCCTGACTGGGCTCTGTGTGGATAATTTTAACAGCTAATTAGCAGTGATTTGAGGCTCTTTCCAGGTTGAAGGGTTAGCGGTAGCCATCCTGTGAACATGTCTAATTAGGCCAGCAGGCCTGGTGTAGAAAATGTGAAGTAGCCTCTCACTCACCACCTCTGAGGCTGCTGAGGTTGTTGAAATGGCCACTGAATGGGCTAGGATCGATGTGGGTCATGTGCCTTTTCTATGCTTTCAGTGGCCCAGAATGTTCTTGGGTAGTGCTAGCGCTAGCTGCTCCCTCTTACTCTTGTCTCCCTCTTATGTTTCTGAAATATACAGTACAGAGGCGTGGGAATGATGTAGGCCTATTCACCAATTGATATTACTCATACACAGTACTTGTCAAAACATTATTTTTTTTATGTATAGACCTGTTCCGAACGGAACCGAGGATAACTAGACCCGTTCCGTATAGACCTGGTTGGGTCCAGACCCGGTCCGATCCGAGTGAGGGAAGCAGCAGAAAAGTCCATTTTTAAGCTACTTTATTAACCAGAGCTGATAAAGCTTGAGGGAGGGGAGGTAGAGCGAAATGACGCTCTAGCAGGGGCCGTGCTGTGTGTGTGTGTGTGTGTGTGTGTGTGTGTGTGTGTGTGTGTGTGTGTGTGTGTGTAGGCTACTGAGTGTGTGAGCAAGTGACCCGGTGAGCAGGGCGGTGGGAGAGACGAGACCGCAACCAACCAAGCCGACTCATGCTATAGTAGACTAATAGCTGCAATAGCTAGGTTATTTATCATCCAATATGATTACATAGTACCTGTGTTGACTGCATCAAACCGGGAGACGCTAGTAAAGCTAGCTAGGCTAAGCAACATAAATGATACAACTTCTCTCTCTACTGCAGCAGTCACGTTCGGATCTGAACGGTTCCTTCCGGACAAGTCCGTTAATTACACATACCCGTGACAATCATATCAGATCAGACCCGTGACATTTAGAATTCTGAATCCGGACCAGCTTCGGTCCCAGATCGGGTCTCGCGTATTCGGGTACAGGTGCATCCGTGAAGACCTCTACTGTGAAGCACTTGTCTGTCTGAAGCGTAGAGTAGATGTGAGGTCTAGGGGGGCCTTGTCTGTGTCTGTCTGCAGCCTTATCTATCTTGTCTGTCTGCTGAAATCACACCGGTCCTACTTTATTACGATCTACTACCTGGAAAATTGCTGCGTTGTCATGGTTATGGAGTGTTTAGTCATTTCGGGGGGAAATGGCAGGCTCGGGAAGAGGGGGCGCTAACTTAATTGCTCTAGATGAATAATTTCACTTGCCTAATTTGGGTGATAATGACAGAGGCAGCGCTTATGTATTTATTTATCCAAACATTAATTGACAGGACTGACATTAACTGGGCCATTATTGTGCATTTGAGTGCGCACAAGGGAACACAAAAAATACAGTAATTATCTTGCTGATAGGGTGGTGGTTTATGCATGAGTTTTCCCTGCCTTATGTCTCTGTCAGCGATTTAGCAAAAAGTGAGATGCAGCAACATGACAGTGGTGTAGTTCATCTCAGTGCCTTCCACCCCCATGCAACTTGTGCTTATGGAGAACTAACTGGGGTGTATTCACTAGGAAGCAAACGAAACTGGGAGGGACCTGCCTGAGTTTGTCCAATAGAAACTCTCGTTTTCATTGCAAAGGGTTTTCCGTTTACAAACGGTTTGCTACGGTGTGCACTAATGATTACACCCCTGGATTTTGTGACCAAATAGTTTTTCTGTCCCCATGTACCCTCTTGCAATAGTGACACAGCACAGTGAAATGACTTGACAGAAATGCCTTGAAATTGTCAATTGAAATGACTCGTTGATTGTTGTTCCAGGCGGAAGGAGAGGATAATCTGAAGAAGATGCAGCTAATGGAGCTGGCCATTCTCAATGGGACATACCGTGACACCAACATCAAGACACGTAAGCTTTACAACCACGCGCACACACGCCAAGGTCCTGTTTCGATCCACATTGACTAACGTGACACTCAAGTGTATCATTTATCATCTTAATCCATCTGTTAATATATTGACGGGTAATAATCTCACAATGACCACAGTGAAGAAGTTGACATGCTCATGATATACTGTGTGCCTTTACTAGGTTCATGAATGTAGTCATTGCAGTATCATGTCTTGACCAGTTTCTTTTATAGACTGCACTTTGCTCTGAAGTGTTGTCCAACATGTCCAACTAGTGTCTACCTACCTCCAAAAACCACCTGTATCCAAGTAGAGCAGTTTCCCCTCCATCACTCCCTCTCGCTGCTCCCACTTCTAAGTGCCCCTTTCCTTCCCTCCCATATGGATGCAATCACAATTTGTTGCAATCTCGGGGTGGTTTCTATATGCCTTCAGCACACCGCAGAAATCACTCGCTCATCTCTGCATGATGTAGTTCACGCATCTGTTACAAACAGTTTTGTTTTCCAATCACCAGTATTACTTTCTTTAGAGTTCATCCCACCCACTCCTGCAGTTCTGCACTTTCATGCCTGTGATTTAAATAAATGCATTGCATATAAGAAATTGTGTGGCTGCTTTCAATTTGTTACCATTTACTGTTTACATTATTATTATTATTATTATTATTATTATTATTATTATCATTTCTTACTGAATGATATTAGTAATGACGATCAATGGATTTGTTTTGCACATTTGGTCATTCCAAAAAGTCATGGCTTGAAGTATTGAAATAAATAAAAATTCACATTTAGAAAATGTGAAATTATTTGACTTGACATTGGTTTGTAACACCAATGTCTGGATCAGTGTCTGGTTATCTCGGCTGTGTTGCCAGACTAGCGATACTAAGTGTGAATTAGCCTAGACGGCCACCGAGCCATGGCCCAAAGAGCTACATGTAAAACATTGATTCAGTCGCCCCCGCCATCAGTGATGTTCACTGTTGTGTGGTACGACGTCAGAACATTTGCAAATGCAAAGCCATTTGGAAAAGCTTTTATTGATTTTTATTTTGTCAGCCAACCAAAATGGTCTCACGGTCATGTAGAGGAGTGGAGTGAATCAGAACTGTACTTAGTCATGGCCAATTTCAATTAGTCCGTCCAACACAAGGCCTCATAGGCCCATAGTCGTCCAATAGACTGGATTGTCTTTTCTGGGGATTGACGTAATCCTATTGGTCCTTCTCAGAAACTGGCACTCCATCTAGTCTCCTCTCCGTGGCTAGTGGCTCCATTTCTGTTGGCTTGTGTATTTTTGTTCGCTTGTGTCGTCCGCAGTACATTAACTTTTGTTATGCTTAATATGGTCTGTGCATTGGGGTAATGGAATCATTTTTAGCTACTCTTTTTATTTTTTTATTTTTTTAGTATGGGTTTCTTTTCTTTTCTTGTTTGTTTACTTAATTTTTGGTTTGCTGGTTCACCTTGATCATTGCATGGACTAATTTTCCTTTTTTTCGCCCCTCCCCTCCTTTTCCCCCACCCTTACCCACTTTTCCTGCTTTTCGTATTTTCCTACTCTCGCTTCTCTTCACCTGTGATTTTGGTCACCCACACCACATCTTTACCCCATTGTCTTGTACCTCTGTCTCTCCATCTTTCTGTCTTTCACTCTTTTTGCTTATGGCAGACCCCCTTGCGTTCTCTCTTGCAGCGGCGGCAGCCGCCGCTCAGGGCCCCCGCCTAATACAGGCCCCCCAGGGGCATATGATGGCCCCCCATCAGCAAATGAGGCCCCCCACACCAGGAGGCACCCCCATCATGAACATCATCCGACAACCCCAAATGCAGGGCATGTTGCACAACGGCACCCCAACCTTGGTGCCTCCCTCGCCGGAAGGCGGCATCATCTACGCATCCCCGTACGACTACCCGTACGCCCTGGCGCCCACCTCCCTGCTGGAGTACCCCATCGACCACAGTGGGGTTCTAGGTAAGCGACCCTGGGGCCTGGGCGGCGGCCCCTTTAGCCCTGGACAGGAGGGCAGCTTGTTTTACCCGGGGTTTTTGGACGCGGCTTCGATGAGCCACAGTCAGGACTTAAAAGGTAAATATGTCGTATCCAGCTGAAAAAAAGCAGGGTTGTTATTGGTGTGACCTTATGACCTAACAGCTGTGCAGGACTAATGGGCTAATAAAGGGCAAGGGGGACAGGGATTTTTTTTCAGGTAGACATTTTTCATTTTTGCTCATCTCCCCACCAAATCCTTTTCCTGGCTCAAGTTTTGTTTTCGCTCTGTTCTGCAGTTGCCATTATACTCCCATGCAATATAAGAGCAGTTGCCTTGTCTGAGAAGACGCACAGATGTACATACACACACTCTGACAAGGACATGCGCAATTGCACACACCCGCGTTCTAGCCCTTTTATGCACTCGCAAGAGGCAGATTCAGTCTGGCGGAAATAATTCAATTTTTCCCCAGCTAGCACTGCAACTCTGGCCTTGATGCCAGTAGAAAGTCCCCTTTGTCCCAGTGGGGATTTTCATTAAATTTACTGTTCTCATTTTTCCCATTGTTTCAGTTTTCACCTTGAACTTCAACTTAGTACAAGCCACAGACATTCCCTCTTCATTACGTCAGCAGTGGGAATTACATTCTGTTGGTGCGGGTGTGTATGCACACCCAACATGTACACTCAAAGCAATATGCTGCCAAATAAATATTTAAACAAAATAGATGATAATGACTAACATTTGTAACCAACCGCCTCGATTCGGTCTTATGTAGCAACATTTGAAATTTAGTTTATGTTAGATAAAAGTAGACTCATAGCTAGAAAATGATAGTTGAAGAACAATGGGAAAATAATTCTGCTTTGAAAGTTGATAAACTTGTAACCCCACTTTTGAAAAAATGGCCCTTGAATGTTTTGGTACCTACTGGAGAGCTCTTCTTTGTCTACATCCATTCAGCATCGTTCACACCCTCTTAAGCCTTAGCCCCACCCATCTCTTTAAGGATTCACATGTGAGGCATTTGCAAAACAGAGTGATTTAGTTTAGTAAACAACCAAAGATTTCAAGACTAAAAGTGGCGAAAGTAGTAGCTTACAATGAGGAAAAACTGTCTAGTCCTTGGCCTATATCCTAATCTGACTTTGGTGCAGGTCATGTTGTTCTTCACATTACCGTCTCTGGTAAACACACTATATCAAATCAAATAAAAAGTTGATTTGTCACATGCACAGGATACAGAAGGTGTAAACATTACTGGGAAATGGTTACTAGTAGCATAGTAGCGATATCAAAAAGTGTCCAGATAAAAATGTTTTATAAGTATTAGATGACGCTTACCTGACACACTTGTCTAAATTGATGGGTTATGTGAAGGAAATGCTATAACCAACCCCCAGCCACATCTAGCTAAGGGGGGGTTCTAAGCTGACATATGGAATTGTTTTAAGATGGTCATACTATGGATAATTTAGCTATTTGATTTTGAATTTTAGAACTTAAGGTAATTATTTGATAAAATACTTTACTACTAAAGCCCATAGAAACGCATTGAATAACACATTAATAAACGGTAAAAAGGACAGTCAAAAAAATTAATCATAAGAAACAAGGTTTTGAAGTCCGTCCTAAATCTAGGAGATAAAGAAAACTCACAAATATATATACACACACAGTTGAAGTCGGAAGTTTACATACACTTAAGTTGGAGTTATTAACTAGTTTTTCAACCACTCCAAGTTTTTTGTTAACAAACTATAGTTTTGGCAAGTCGGTTAGGACATCTACTTTGTGCATGACACATGTCATTTTTCCAACAATTGTTTACAGACAGATTATTTCACTATCACAATTCCAGTGGGTCATAAGTTTACATACACTAAGTTTACTGTGCCTTTTTAAACAGCTTGGAAAATTCCAGGAAAAATGTCATGGCTTTAGAAGCTTCTGATAGGCTAATTGACATAATTTGAGTCAATTGGAGGTGTACCTGTGGATGTATTTCAAGGCCTACCTTCAAACTCAGTGCCTCTTTGCTCGACATCATGAGAAAATCAAAAGAAATCAGCCAAGACCTTAGAAAAATATTTGTAGACCTCCACAAGTCTGGTTCATCCTTGGGATCAATTTCCAAACGCCTGAAGGTACCACGTTCATCTGTACAAACAATAGTACGCAAGTATAAACGCCATGGGACCACGCAGCCGTCATGCCTCTCAGGAAGGAGACGCGTTCTGTCTCCTAGAGATGAACGTGCTTTGGTGCAAAAAGTGCAAATCAGTCCCAGAACAACAGCAAAGGACCTTGTGAAGATGCTGGAGGAAACAGGTACAAAAGTCTCTATATATATATATATATATACATACAGTAAAACGAGTCCTATATCGACATAACCTGAAAGGCCGCTCAGCCAGGAAGAAGCCACTGCTCCAAAACCGCCATAAAAGAGCCAGACTACGGTTTGCAACTGCACATGGGGACAAAGATCGTACTTTTTGGAGAAATGTCCTCTGGTCTGATGAAACAAAAATATAATTATTTGGCCATAATGACCATCGTTATGTTTGGAGGAAAAAGGGGGATGCTTGCAAGCCGAAGAACACCATCCCAACAGTGAAGCACGGGGGTGGCAGCATCATGCTGTGGGGGGTGCTTTGCTGCAGGAGGGACTGGTGCACTTCACAAAATAGATGGCATCATGAGGAAGGAAAATTATGTGGATATATTGAAGCAACATCTCAAGACATCAGTCAGGAAGTTAAAGCAAATGGGTCTTCCAAATGGACAATGACCCCAAGCATACTTCCAAAGTTGTGGCAAAATGACTTAAGGACAACAATGTCAAGGTATTGGAGTGGCCATCACAAAGCCCTGACCTCAGTCCTATAGAAAATGTGTGGGCAGAACTGAAAAGGCATGTGCGAGCAAGGAGGCCTACAAACCTGACTCAGTTACACCAGCTCTGTAAGGAGGAATGGGCCACAATTCACCCAACTTATTGTGGAAGGCTACCCGAAGCGTTTGACCCAAGTTAAACAATTTAAAGGCAATGCTACCAAATACTAATTGAGTGTATATGAACTTCAGACCCACTGGGAATGTGTTGAAAGAAATAAAAGCTGAAATAAATAATTATCTCTACTATTATTCTGACATTTCACATTCTTAAAATAAAGTGGTGATCCTAACTGACCTAAGACAGGGAATTTTTACTATGATTAAATGTCAGGAATTGTGAAAAACTGAGTTTAAATGTATTTGGCTAAGGTGTATGAAACTTCTGACTTCAACTGTATATATCACAAAACTACCTTCATACTTCCATTTGTTTTTTTAAAATCGGTACTGGTTACCTTCAGACGAGTCCCGTGACACTTCTGGAGGGTGTAAAGCAAAATGGAGAATCTCCCCTTTCCATAGCGGTCATAATAGCTGCAGGCGTTTGTGAGAAGAACGATTTTGGGGCTGTCTCATAGTCTGACAAACACCGCTCTAGCTCTGCCACCTTTCACTGGCAGATGAGGTGGATTGAGACTAATCCAATGCAAATAAACAACAACATGTCTTTAGCTTAAACCGATGGATTAGGATGGATTTTTTTGTATGTAATTTAAATTTGACTCTAGGGGGTAAATGAGGTGTTGATCCTGACATCACGAGACTGCCATGTTAGCTGACCCGTGTCGGTGCATGTGTGAGGGATGCCTCTGGGAGCAGTTGTGCAGTACAGAGCCTACTGGCTTTTCTCTCTTTAACTCTGAGGGCACAGCAGCTTAGTGCGTTTTATTTACTTGCCGTATTGATCGGTGCCTTCAGCAAAGGAGACCCACTGGAACACACCACCAATTGGCTCTACTAGCGCTGCTTAGGCCTTAGCATTAGCGTTAGCTCGGAGGAAACCTCAGGAGATCTGGTGCTACAGATTGGAATGTGGGTGGGCCTGCGTAGTCATCAACCATCCCTGTGAACCATTGCACAGTTTTCCTACCTGCCCAGCCAGGGCTGTTTCAAATGTGATGTAACCATCACTCGTCCATTCCAGCATAGAAACCTCCCCAAGCCTTCTGATCCTAGAGATAACATTCTTGAGTTGAGTCTCCTTTAAAGTGCTCACTTGATAACTGCAGCTAAGAGCGTTTAGTAGTGTGCAATTTGACTGGATGCCCAGATTGTTGTCACGGTGACCCATTCTGTGGGGACTGCCACTATTTAGCCAATGAAGGCTTCTGACACAAATCTCTTTTAACGCTCTCTGGGTAATGAAGAGCAGAGAAATATGGGCACCCCAGCATCATTCTGTAGTTTCTCTCTGGCCCCGAAATCTGGGAGGCCATCCTTCCCCGGCTCAAACTAAATCAGAAATATTGACTTAGTCGGATAAAAGCCCAAGAGATATGACCTCTGTGTTCTGAAATGGTGTCTTGCTGACTGCACTGCGCTCTAGCTTTTAGACTAATTTAAGGATTTACCTTTCACACTTTTTAATCTAGGATTTCTTTTTTTGTCGTAGACTCATTTTTTATCTCTATGCACGGTCACAGTTCCTATGCAACCATACTTGCAACAACCTTACTGAGACATAGTATTTTACTCTATTTCCTTGTGTGTCAAGACCAACCACACACTAGGATAATTGAAATGTCTGTCTTCATTTGTGACAAATATTCAGAGTGGAATGACTGCCACTGCCAGTGAGTAGATTGACTGAGGTGTAGAGACGTGAGAGAGCCAGGTGGTGTCTAGCACTATCCAGTTAGGATCTGAGCTGCTTTGGATTTTCACACTTTATAAAATCACTCATTTTTCTCAATCCCCCTTCTGGAACATGTTTTTCTTCTAGACAGCCTTAGTCCCCTGTCCCCCTGCCTGCCAGTTTCAAAGAATCCTCTAACACTGAGTACTGTGGAATTGTATTACCTAAGTTATACATTTTATAGATATCAAGTTAAAGCAAATGTGTATTTTTTTCTATGCATTTTCTATACATAAATGTCTATGTATATTATATATCATGTATAAGCAGTATGTGTGTAAATGTGTATTACTGTAAGACTTGTTTTCCCCTCCTAAAGTGAATGGTTTCTAACCTTGTGGACCTGTTGCAATCTAGGTGCAATGGCTACTAAAGTGAGACGGCATGACTCGCGGGTCCGTCCTTACCAAAGGATTGTGACCGCAGACAGAGGTTAGTTTAGTCTCTAAGATACTTCACTTTGACTGTTGATTGCATTGCCTTTTTATTTGCATTAGTTGGGATTTCACGTAATTTGATGAGCTTTATATTATTTATTCACCCCACACATACAAACACCACCTAAATGGTTGACTGTGGTATTCACATTGTTTACATACATAGTTCTCATAGTACTCCATATAACTATATTTCAATGCTCAGGCAAAAGCGATCTTGATTGCTTTGGTTTACATGAACTGTGACCCTTGGTGACAGAACAGGTAGTACACGCGGTGTTCAAGCTACGTTTTCTTAACATTCCTCTGTGAGATTAGACCCTAAAATAGGTCAGACGTGTTCCCATACATAATTAATCTGTTCTACTTATGAGGAACAGAGTGGAAAGCGACTCTAAACGCTAACTAGAAAAAGTAGACACTACAGTAGCCTTGTTGCCACCATGCACCCTTCTTTCCTCTTGATTTGTTTATTTTTGATGTAAGACGGACATACTTCATCTAAGCTAGTTTACACTTTCTCTCCGGTGTATTTTAAGTATTGAAATAAAATATAAAAATGGAAGTATTTTCAGTTGTACACGAGGTACTGTAATTTTATATTCCTTTTATTTTTTTATAACAAATGTATTTATGGCTACTGTATATAAATATACTGATAAATAAAGAGAAGGAATCGGAAAACAGTGATTTATCGATTCATTACATAACACTAGTTACTGTTATTCCTTGCATAACACTAGTTTAATTCTTCTTACCACTAATCACACTGTTCGTAACTTGCATTCCAACCGCGAAAAACTAAAACATACTATTTATTTTTTACTTTTTCTGTTTGTTGATTTCGCTTTGCTTCTGTTTGTGGGTACTGGGGGCAATGTAGCGCTTTGATTAAAACAACGTTTTGATTTAGGTTGGGGGCTTAGTAGTTGGGATCATGATGTAACAACCTCATGATTATAACAAGATTAGCTGGGTCTGTTTCTTGGCAGGGAATTAGGGGGAATAAGAGATTGCATTCATTTTATTGTTAAAATGATATCATTCCAGTCTCTTCTTGCTGACACTAATATCCTTTCTATCTTTTTTTTTCTTTGTTTGTTTTTTGTTTCTAACCACCTAGCCGCCACCGGCAACTAACACATGACCTTCTGACCTCTGAACTCTTCACCCAATGACGAGCCGCCCCAAGCCTGCCTGCTGATCAGTTAACTGGTAATTGCCTTTTGCTAGCTTCTCGGATGCAGTGAGAGAGGGGCGCCTGTCCGTACAGTTACCCTAACATGTTTTTGATAAAACAATTTTGTTTTAAACACACAATCTCATAGTAACCCAACAAACCCAACAAAAAAAGTTAAATTTTATTTCTTTCTGTTCATTGAGTTGAATTCCCATTCTTTCTTTTTCTTCATGAATCACAAACTGGGTGGATGTGTATGCATTGTTACTAATTAATCTGCACTGAATTTATATAGCAATAAAGATCCCACCCTCCCTGTCCGCAACCCCACCCCATACCTGCTCTGATTCGGTGACCTCACTAGTATTCACTAAACAACGCTAAACAGGAAATGAACCCAGACTGTATGTGTCCCCCAAACATGGCCTCCTTCTCCCTCCAATGTGCAATGCCAAGTCCTTTATTCCCTTAACCCCACCCACCCCATTCCACACCTACTTGCTGGCAATGAAAGAAAAAGAAATAGAAGGAAAGAGAAACTACACTCCAACATGTTAATGTAGTCCTGTATTTTGAAGCTCTGAGACTTAATGATGTGCTGACACATTCTGGGTGTGCCCTGAACGGCTGTCTGTTAAAAGCATGGCTAAATTGATTGCAAATTGAGTTTATTATAATTGTAATTGTTTTCTTTGGTTTTACCTGATTTTGTTTTCTCGTTAAAATACACTTTCTTATTAGCTCTGTTGTGAAGGACTAGCCAGACAAAGCAGGTTCTAAGAAGAACTCAAAAGGCAGCTTTTGAGGTGGCAGGCCTATCATGGGCAGTTAGCGGAAGCTAGGAGGGGTGCTGGGGAAGAATTGGGATGAGGAGAGGTGTTTTTATTACTATAATGAAAGTAGGATGTGTTGAGGGCTAAGACAGTGGAGCGGTGGATATATAGTTAACTAGCTACTGACCTTAACTATGCTCCTCCACACTTCCAAGTGTACAGTGCCTGATGTATTTAGAGAATTCCAACAAATTATGCGAGCTGTGATCTAAAAGACAAAAAAAAGTATTAAGTGTGAGTATTTAGCCAAAGGGTTTTCAGTTGAATTATATCTATATAAATATGTATCTAACCGCAGAGGGTGCGCCGTAATTTTAGAGCTTGAAAGGATGTAATTTCGTGCATGCGTAAGTGCGACTTGACTGCCAATCAAAAAGATGAAGATTGTTTCACATAAAGCTCAAGTTTCCCATGAAGAGACAAAGCCGATTGACACTAAAGTAGGCTTCTGGTGGGGGAGGGATCCTGATAGTGGAGTTTTGTAAATATATATTTTGTTTTTGTTTTTTCTGTTTGATTTTGCCTTTTTATTTTTGGTTGTCATATCTACACCCCTGCCTAAAATGCATTTTCATATTGCGTATCAGCATTCGGCTAATTCTCTTTGCTAGTATGTTTGTAGTTTTCCTTAATCTCTTGATACTTGCCCTCATGCAAATAAGAAAATCTATTTGAATTTGTATTTTATTAGGGGGGGGGGTGTATTTCTTTATAACCCTCGCCATGCCATTTTGAAGTCCCCCAATTAGTGCATCCACAATGTGTCTCCATAAAGGTATAGTCCAGATCCTAAGCCCATGACGTTTCTCTAATTCTTTCTCAAGAAAAAAAAAAATAGGATGTGAAAGCCATGCCTGCCTGTTCAAATTGCTTTATTACATACCTGTTATATATGTAGATACCTGTCATTGCATATTAAAGATAGAGGAGAACACAATTGGATACTTTTACAGGGTGCTGGAAAAGATAAATATATTTTTGGCAATTTTAGCTTTTTATACTTCACTTGCAGTTACAAAATAAATAAAAAAAATGCAACAAAAAAAATAAATAGTATAGAGAGAAAAAAAAAAAAAAGGTGGTGATGAAGATGCTGTGTTACTTTGGATATTATTGGCTAGGAAAATAAAGACCAAAATAGTCATACCTACGAACGTTGCAAGGATGTAAGTGTTACGAAGAGAGGGAGAGACATTCAGAGAAGAGAGAAAAAAAGTGCCTTATCGACGGTCGTTTCTTTTTCCGAGTGTTAACATTCTGTTCAATAATATCCAGCACCAACGAGGAAGGCGCAGAGAGCAACGGCTTCTGTGATACGCTCTTAAGAGTTGAGCAGGGTAGCTCCGTCATTATTGCTGAGCTACTGAAGTTATTCTATGCAAAAAGAATAGCAGTCGTATGACCAGCTAAAATATGTGCCATGGTTCGTCTTCCCAAGTATAAGTTAAGGTTTTTGTTTTATGATTATTATTTTATACCCTCTGCCATCCGAACAAGTTTTATTTCTTATTTCTCTGCGTTTTGATTTAGATTAGTGCTATTGTTGTCTTGATTTCTGGTTACTGTGATTATTCTACCAAGAACAAACTGCCAATAGCAATGCAGAAGTCTGCCAGGACATCTTATTCATGCGAAGAAATACAATAAATATCAAATAAATGAGATTAACAGGAAAAGAGACATTTGCGTGTGTATACCAATTTGTTTAAAGAACTGCCAATGCTTTCACGCTACAGTTGGGTAATGAAGCCAAGTCATGACTTCAAGCCCAAAGATTAATTTTCCAGATAGTAGTTCAGAGCTGTTTTATATTGGGAGGGGAGGCACTGATGATGATGATGATAGGGCTTGAGCTGGATGAAGTTTATTGATTACGATGTCGTAGTCAAACAATCCCGCCACAATGTGTAGTGGTGCCAATTCTGGAAGTGATCAACATGTAGTATACAGACTAGAAAAGGGTCTTACCTCTCTATGGCTAACACATTTGACTTCACAGCCAATCAGTTTTCAGTTACTGAAACAAAAAGGGGTATATCTAATCACAAAGAAATAAATACTATAAAAATCTAATCACATAGAAATAAATACTATAAAAATAAATTGAGGACATTATGGATGAAGTATTTTACCTTCCCTGGCAGTCTGACACTTTATTTTTCTCATACATGCTGTTACACAGAAAATGTCAATGAATTTGTTTTCAGTGTTATGAATTCTATATAAAAAAAATAAAAAAAGCAATATTAAAGTGGAGGAAGATGACAATTCAGCATTTTGACAGTATTAAGAAATATTTCCTCTGCAATGTTACATCACGTTGTGTCATCGTATAACTTTGGTTTAGTCCATCAGGTGTATGGTGAACTGCCTGCCTACTACATGTATGATAATGTAATTTACAGCCATTGTTACAGGTTTATAATGTATTTTTCTAATCTCATTTTATATGTATATTATACAATCTCTTTTCTGACTCTTTTTTTGATGAAGCCCACTGCAACTTGTTTTTAACCCCCCCCCCCCCCCCTCCCCCCATCATCATCTTGAAATCTGTCTCTCTCGTGGGGAGTGTTGCCTTTCCTAGAGTTATATTTGGTTTTCTTGCCAATTCCTAGCTTGTTTAACTCATTAGCGACTTTATTCGTTTTTCTTGTCATAAGTATTTTTACATGCTTGCATTTAGTTTTCATGGTGTATGCTGTTATTTTTCTTATTAACCCCTTGGCATTTATTTTAATAAAACATTCTTAGTAAGAATTTTACTAACTTGCTGATATTTTTTTGTCTTGTGTTTTTAACCAGTTTAATGAATGTATTACCTTGGTCTGGTTCACGGACTAACACAATTAAAACTGGTGTCTGGCCACCAAACACTTACACTGACATGCCTGTACACAAACATACACACATGCATATTTGTACACAGCAGCATTCATATTTGCACGCACATACACAAGTAGAATACGCACACAAAAAAA